AAGTAGAAGAAGTAGAAGTAGAAAAAGTAGAAGTAGAAGTAGAAAAGGAGAAGAAGAAGTAGAAGTAGAAGAAGTAGAAGTAGAAAAAGTAGAAGTAGTAGAAGTAGAAGAAGTAAAGGTAGAAGAAGTAGAAGTAGTAGAAGTAGAAGTAGAAGTAGAAAAAGTAGAAGTAGAAGTAGAAGTAGAAGAAGAAGTAGATAAAAGTAGAAGTAGAAGAAGAAGTAGAGGTAGAAGTAGAAATAGAAGTAGAAAAAGAAGTAGAAGAAGAAGTAGAAGTAGAAGTAGAAGTAGGAGTAGAAGTAGAAGTAGAAGTAGAAGTAAAAGAAGTAGAAGAAGAAGATAATTGAATGAATAATGATAATAAAAATAATAATAATAATAACAATAACAACAACAATAATAATAATAATAATAATAATAATAATAATAATAATAAATATAATAATAATAATAATAATAATAAGGTTCTGGCTGCCCCCCTCAGACCGTACAGAACAGAAATAATAACATTAATAAATATTCCATTCTTACTGGTCGTGGACGGCCGTGGGGGTTCCCCCCCCGGGCCCCCCCCCCCCCCCAGGCTGAGCAGCTCCAGGCTTCGGCTGGGGGGGCCGTCAGGGTCCGGCCAGCAGGGGGCGCTGCACAGTCTCACCTCCAGGACCGATTCCCCCTGTGTAATTTTAATGTAAAATAAAGAAGTAAAAAGGTAAAACAAAAAAAAAAACAAAAAAAAAGAATTTACATACATATATGTGATTGTAATGTAAAATAAAGAGGTAAAAAGGTCAAATGAATAAATAAAAAAATTAAGAATTTACATACATATATGTGATTTTAATGTAAAATATAGAGGTAAAAAGGTTAAATAAATAAATTTAAAAAATTAAGAATTTACATACATATATGTAATTTTAATGTAAAATAAAGATGTAAAAAAGTACAAAAATAAATAAATAAAAAACTTAAGAATTTATATACATATATATGTAATTTTAATGTAAAATAAAGAGGTAAAAAGGTAAAATAAA